TTCTTTTTATTCTTTTCATCATGATGCCAGTTACATACATACCTTTTTTTCAGGTCTGTTGTTTTTTACTTTTCTTTGTGTAAATTCTCCATTTTTTAATTAACATAACAAACCAATAAGTATTATCGGTAGCGGTAAACTTCTTGAGCAAAACCACAGACAAAAAAAATTGCGTAGTACACGTTTTTGTATGCAATTTTGCTACTGCGTGACTTTCTTGTCTATGGTCGTTTGTCGGGGAACATAGTTATGTAGCGTTTGCACGATTAGTCAACACGATACTGTTTCTAAAACACATTTCTCAGGCAATCACAATCTCAATCAAATCTAAGCGTAGGCGGAGCCATAAAGCGACTCTCGTTTTGTACTTATAAAAACACCTGTACTGTGAGAAGCTTGCTTCGTGAACGCAAGCCTTGCTAGATCACTTTTACTTCTGCCCCTACTTTTAATCTTTCACAAAACCATGTTTCTTCTACTCTTTAAAAATAAGGTTTAGAATCGTGTACCATTTTATTAACAGACAGCAAAACTATTGAGTTTCCCGCCAGATCACTTGCCTCCGCTGAGGTCGTAAACGAGCTTTATAGCTTTCGAAATACGGTCGAATTTTGGTCGCAGATGGGTATGGCGGCGGTAAATATAGTATTGTTGTAGCAACGCCCCAGTGGCGCCGCGGCCGGCCGATTATGAGCTATAAACTAATTCCGGTAGCGAACCCATTAAGACACGTACCATTATCTATATTAGAAGGCTCACTTACCATTCGAGGAGCTCAATGGCGCGGGTGGTGAGCGCGTTCGGCTGCGATCGTTGAAGTTAAACAACTTTCGCAGTGGTCGGTCATTGGATGGGTGACCAAAAATTTTCTATCTCCAGCTCCTCCGTGCTTCGTTAGCACCCGCTAATCCGCACTGGGCCCGCGTGGTGGGTCATGGCCCATGCCTATTTCATCCATAGGGAAGGCATGTGCCCCAGCAGTGGACACATAAATAGGCTGATGACTTACCATTCGAAGGCATACTTATTTAAACGTAATATTAGCAAAGAGGGATGTGAGTAATAAATTAAAGACAAAAACTGTAACGCCAAAAAATATTGATTTACGTGTAATTTTTCACAATCTTATTTATAAACAAAAAGATAAAACTTGGACGGACAACCTTACGCAGTGTTTCAAAAGAAATCGTATTAATAAACAAAAAAAAAGTCTACACCAATTACGCAATATTTTATTAACATCACTCAAATAACATTTACAAATAGTAATTCGATGATCAGAGACAAACTGCGTACCTACCCACTTAACAGTCCGCTCCGGCTTTGCACGGGTTAACTTTATTTTAACGCGACAAAATATTGTCTTTCTCTGATAATGTAGCAATTTAAAGGTGAAAGATTTTTTTAAATCATTAGGTTATCATTAGGTTTTGAGTTTATTCGTTACTCACATACAAAAAATCAAATCTGTCCTCTTTTTAAAACATATGAGTATAGTTTCGTGCATTAACCCGTAAAAACTAGTTTTATTTAATGAGTGATGTGCGTGAAAACCTAATAAACAAATATGAGTATAGATAAGTATCTATACATATAATAAAATGGTAGGAAAGTCAAAACTGTATATTGAATATTTTTTTAAAAGAATACTTGAGGTGTGATCTACAATCTATACCGAAGCCAAAAATATAGTTTTTAGAATTTTTGTCAGTTTGATAACTTTGATGACCTGCCCAGACGAGGGTTATTTGCGCGCGGACCTTTTTGTCCGCCAAAATAGATCGCTTTAAACTGCATTGAATCACGCGTACGGAAATTAAAGGTACTGCATACTAAAAGCCCCCCACACAACCGAGGACACCGTGAGGTCGGACTGGACAATAGTACAGGGTTGTCCCCGAAACAAAGAGAACTCTTGTGACCAGACGCAGAAACGCAAACATCGAACTTTTACCGCGTTGTGCCCCGATCCGATTAAAACGGATGTACCCGTATTTACTTTTAAAACGTCTCGTCTTTTTCGTAAACTATACGTTGATTACAACACAACAAATAAACAACAATATTTATTTCCATAGCATGAGCTTCTCTAAACGGTTGGCTAACAAATGTCTGCAATCCTGTGCGTTGAGTCCACGACAAGTCCTTGGCCGTCCTTGGCCACCCTTGGCGCACTTTTTTCACGATTTAATTACTTTTGTCTGTGGAAGACTAAAGTCCCTCGTCTGCGCACGCCGTCAATGTTAAATCAAATATGAAAAAATGCTAATGAAATAAATAAAAATGCAAAAAATAATATTGCATTTCGTTTGTTAACCTTTTTGCTTAATATTTACTCGTACATTCCAACGATTAGGAAAACACATGAATCTAAAATTAAACGGTTCGGAATGCGGATTATTGTGATCGCTCAGTAAAATGATATGATTTAATAACAAATCGGACTCCCGGCCATATGGGCAAACCTGTTTCAAGCGCGTACCGATGCGGCAATGCCGCACATGAGAAAAACATTCAGTAAATTCTATCGAGATGGAAATTTCTTGAGATAACAATAACAATTGAATTTCCTATCGAACATTTAATTCACAAAGAAAATACTGCTAATATTCATTTTGCAAATTCACGATTTATCGAGGTGAGGTAGGAATCTCCATGAGTTGCTATGAGCATGAATATCGCCTTCTAGGGCACGCGTGGTGATGTAAAATGAAAAAAGAAACTACTATTTTCATAATGCTAGTCAAGAAAATGTGGTAGGTTTAAAAATAAACAGAAATCTTTAATATTAACTCTTAAGCATTAATCTTTAACGGAAACTTCGATTAAGATGTTCAATTTGGTACCCGGGATAAAAATTGATATGAAAAAACACACTTTCTTTCTTTTTCCTTGCAACGTTTTTTATTCACGATAGAAAAATTTAACTGTTTTTTCTTGCATTGAATTTAATTGGATCGCGCTATTCGTACGCAGCTTTACGATTTGATATCCTTATATAGAATTAATACTAGTTTAAAAGATTTACATTATTCATATGGAAGTGGAAATATCTTGAGATATGATCTCGTGTGTGGCGACGATGACGTCACGTGCGCAGGCGCCGGCGCCAAGCTACTCGCCGTGAAGGACTGGAGTCCACTCTTAATCATTCCTACTCTGTCGTTTGTTTACGATTAGAAAAGGCTAGACTGATTCCAAACATCCTTTTGTGATTTTATTGGACCAGTAGGTACTAGCTCGTATAACGTGTATAAGTACGTACTGAATACGGATATACAGTATAACTATATTTTAAAGTGACTCTTGAATTAGAATAATATTGTTTGCAACTTAAAATGGAACAAAAAACCTTTTTAAATAGAACAATGAGGTAAAATCTGTTATATGCACACTTTCACTAAGAACCTAATAAAATCGTAAATAATAAACTTATTGCAAATGCTATAATTAAATTGCCATTTTATTAAAATCTTGAATTACCAGACAGTTTTTAATGCTACAACAAAAGAAAAATAAAAGAAGTCAAGCCTTATTATTTTAAAGTACCAATCCATATTAAGAGACTTTATAGAAGAGTAGGGCCATAAAAATATTACTTAACTGAATATTTATATTCATAATTACATATTTCCTTTAATGCTTAGAAACACGCTAAGAAAGTTAGTGCAAATATACATTTGCTTTTCTCATTATTTTTGATATCGAAAAACTATACAGCTAACGCCATATCTATACCAATTCATTGTTATCTAGCAGATAAATTAACGAAATCCTACATATTTCTTATGAATCAAAATTGTGAGTACGTACGAACTCATAAGAATTTAAATTGTTGGACTTTACTCTTAATCTGCGGCAGAAGATAACACAATAAGATAACACAATCAAAAAGTTGTAGTTGTAAATTAATCCCCATATTGATAGCAATCAAAATGTTTTTGCGATAAAATCAATTATTTTGTAATAAATAAATAATAATTTAAATAAATTTCGGATATCTACATACTTAAATAGTTTAGTTATGATTTTGAGAATGATTACGGACATGATGATGATTTTTTTTATACGTGTTCGTCTAGTAAAGCCGAAACATAAGCAAAATATAGTATACTGTAGTTTAAGTAGATATGTTAGATAATAATAATGACAATTTATTGTCTTTTTTACATGCTAACAGGTATTTAAATAATATTTCATTAAAACAAGACAATAAGGAGTGGCTCAGCCAATGTTGGTCAAGTCTGGATCTAAACCAACGCGGTTTTCAGCCACCCCTTAACAAATTTTACATAATTAATAATACCTCGCCTCGAATTATCCATTATTTGGTTGTATAGATATTATATAGATATATGTTAGTGTATACGATACTAGACATTTGTTTTGAGTAAGCCAACAATATTTTATATACTCAGTTTTTTTTTAATCATGAAACATTGCAACGATGACAAACTTGATATGAATAAAAAACAAAAAATATCATTACCTTCATCAATTAGTTAAAAAAATGCAATAACAATGCTATCTATTAAAGGTCATCCGCAATCATATTTCGGTAAGAGATAAGCGATATCATCGAAGTATAGTTGCACCGGTACACTTATCGTCGTTATTAGGAAATCAACAAACAAGCAAAGGTATATTTTATTAGTTTGTAAAATGTAGGATTAACTTCGATTGAAGTAAGTAGAATAAGTCAGAATTTTTATAGCAGCTGTTTTTATGGCCTCCCTATTAGTTAGTAGGCTGGTCATGTGCAGGCTTCTGTAACGAGGAGCGGCGTTCGTTTGTGTCCACCGCGTGCCTTTTTGCGGCGCACACGCAGCTTCCGCCGAGCTCATAACACTGACACTAACATCACATAAATCCATAATCATTTATACAGCTGGACCGTGTTGGACAAACTTGGATAATAATGTATCTTTCTATGTCCCTTGATATAAATTCCTGCTCGGGTTTGAACAAAGTCCTAATGTTTGTTATCTCTTTTGTTTCAGATCGGATACTGGAACGTGACGCTGGCTTCGTGTCGGGGGGAGAAGACGATGACTCTTGTTCGGGACCAGCGCATTCCGACGACTCAGGCGTCAGACTGGTGGAGAATCACTCCAGAAAGAGAGACCGTCCTCCATCCAGATCACAACCGCCGAAGAAACGCATCCGCCTCAGCTCCCGCGAAGACCTGACCAGTCCCGAGAGTGACGTCCCCACTAGCCCGTTCCGACCCTGGTCTTTTGCCGAAGAACCTCAGCAGGAGCCCCTATCTCTAGTCAAGAAGACCAGTGAGACCAGCCTTTTGAGGCAACGAAGAAGACCTCTGGAACCACCTCCTGCTATAATACCCCCTCCACCAGCGGCAGACACAAGAACAGGCCCACCCAGGGTCCCTCCTCATCCAGGGGTAATAGAACCTTACACCGAAAAATCAAAGCCTAGAGAACAGAGGAACTACAAGAATATGACGCGAGAGAGGAGGATAGAAGCTAACGCCAGAGAGAGAACGAGAGTACACACCATAAGTGCTGCCTTCGATACCTTGAGACGAGCGGTGCCAGCTTACAGCCACAACCAGAAACTATCTAAGTTGTCAGTGTTACGGATAGCCTGCGCATACATCGCTGCTTTGTCAGCAGCCTCAGACCCTGAGGCTGATCTTTCGTCGGCGGTAGAGAGCGTTACACAGACAATACACACAGAAGGAAAGCTAAGGAAGAAAAAAGACGATCCATGAAGAGTCGTAGCATTGGAGGGCCCAATTTTATTAAACGGGCGCAGTACTCGTTACCAGATGTGGCTATAGAGAGAAGAAAACCACGGACAACAGAATGATCTATACAAGGGGACTGGAAATTTTCTTATAAATTAGATTATGTCCGTCCGTACCACTAAGAAACATGACAAAAAATCTCACTAGAAGTATATAATAGAATTTACGTCGATTTTGATGGAAGCGACTCTCACAAGACTGAGTTTTCAAAGACTTGAGTGTTGTTACTGCATACATTTTTATGAATGCGTTGTTGACAAAACAATTTGTACCGTCCTACACTTATTGAATGAATTGTTTTAAACTTAGTACAAAACAAAGGTGACAATAATAAAATTGGTGATGGCAATTTTGTAGCGAATACTTATGAAATTGGATAAATTGATTCCTTTATTATATTAAATAAGTGTTCATAGGAAATGTAATGGGAAAAATGATAGATAACTGTAACTAAATTTGACTGATACAATGGTACGAAAGTTCCTGTAAGCGTATATATGGATCTTGTACGTTATGAAAGACCTCTTTGATAATACAAATTTCAAATGTCAATAATCGGATGTGCCGATTTTTAACTTGATCATCATTGTTTATCCCACCAGATCTCGAATGCCATACAATTTCATATTAACGAAATAGCGACCAGTGAGTCAAAAAGCAGTTGCTAACATTATAGAATAAAACAATTCTGTTGTTTACCAGTAGAGACGCTGTTGAAGTTTCCTTATACGATTTCATAGTTTCTCTATCGCAGGAAATGATAAATGAAGCTTAATCAAAGATTCAAGTCGTTAGTTTTGATAAGATAAGCCCAGGCCATAGTAACAAATATTCTAACGAGTTATCTGTCTAAGATTCTCAAGAGAACGAAAACGAAAAACCGTAAAAAGTTTTTAACAGACAAAGATAGTCAACTAACGCCGTTGAATTTTACGCATAGGTAAGAATGTTATATGTATACATCAGAATACTTTTAATCTGCCATAAAGGAAACAACAATAATTAAAAATTACACCGGGCACACGTGTTATTTATTACACGTGTCTCTTAAAATTCATTCTAAACTTTTGCCAAGTGCCTGGGACTTATCAAACGTTTTCAATATTTGGTGATGATGTATTAACTTCCAGTACCTACTTACTACATGATTCACACTCAGGCAACCACTTACTTTTAAAAATATATGAAACCCACAAATGTTAACCATTATAAAAATGCTAATGCATACTTAAATACTTAATGATTTGAGTATGTTATTAAATCAATTAGGCTTAAAACAAAACTACGCAAAGCGAGCGAATACTAAATTTGACAAAAGCATCTGCTATAGAAATGTATTTTTTGGCTTTAATGATATATATATATTTATTAAATCGAGTCAGTAATTTTAAGGTAGAACTGTATTATTATAGATATTTAAATGAAAAATGCATTTTCCTGTAAATATTATAATATTAAGTGATATAGTTGTAAATAAAATTGTTTATATTTTCTGTTACAAGGCAATTATAGATAAACCATCGTGTACGGTACATTTTCAAATGTATGTTTTAGATAATAATAATAATAAAGCTAGGTGGAATACATATAGTAACGTTTTTTAAATCGACAATAATTGTGTCAAATTCGAAAAATTCATTAAAATAATGAAAAGCCTTTGATAGTGAAATTAAAAAAAAAACAATGGCATTTAACCATTAAATAATACGTATAAAAATTAAAAATCTTATGAAAAGTACATAGTTAGCACGCTGGTGAAACGAAAATGCCTTAAAACAAGCATTGTGATATAGATATTGTAAATATAAATTAGTAATAGGTAAAATTAGAATTGTTAAGTTGAACAGATGAGTCGAGAATTGAAAATATATATTTTAGTCTAGCTCTGACAAAAGCCAACTTTTTAAAATTAAATAGTATTTTGTTAACAGTAACCTTTTTGTACTAACTACCTCTTGGTATGCATTTCCTCAGATATACGTGGTGTTAAGGTCCTAAATTATTCAGATTAAAATAATACAAACTTTCGGTGAAGATAACTTTTGATTTCATGCAACTCGAATTCAACTCTTTTTTATATACTATATGGCTTTTCTCAGAGCTAAATTAATACGGTATTGTATAATACATTGAGGTAAACACTTGGAAAAAGAATAATAAAGAAAATGGGAATATAATTAATACATCGTTTCATTTTGCAATTTTAAACAGATGTCACGGCTGTTTGAATAAGGATTTATTCAAAAAAAAACACGCTTAAATCTGTGTAACATTATGTATTTTTGTCCACTACCTATCCTAACCCACCAGCCTTGTAATGCTTACTTTGGGGCTATACTAATTGGTGTCAAAAAAGTAAGATATATTTTATTTATTGTGCCATTCGACGTACAAACCTCTTCCCTACCGGGAACCCAGGGTTTCAGCTCTGTGTAGGCGACACCTTGGAAAAGTACAGACCCGAGTCGAGTCTAGTCACGAAACGGCAGAGAAGTGTGTCTTATCCAGCCATCCTCACCTTGCTGTCCTGGCACAGAAGTCACGTAAATCTCTTTCGATTCGAGCAAACGCTGAAGATCCAACTTGCTGGATCCAGCATGCGGGACAGCAATAAACATGGAGATACAGGATCTCTTTTACGTCTATAGAGCTGCCCCGCATGCTAGACCCAGCAAGATAAAGAATGCGTATGCGGAGACAATAAAAATTAAAACTGTATGTCTTACGCTTGCTGATAATCATTCATCATCATAATCAGCCGATGGACGTCCACTGCTGGGCATAGGCCTCCTCTAGGGATCTACAAACACAACGATCCTGAGCTTTTCGCATCCAGTGGGTCCCCCCGACTCGTTTGATCTCGTCAGTCCACCTGGTAAGGGGTCTACCGACACTGTGCATCCCGGTGCGAGGTCAACATTTTTTTATTTTTGAAGTTATACTTCTTTAGGCGCGTTATGAAAAAATGATGAGAGTGAAATTTTAAGATGCGCGCGCATCACTGTAACACAAAAAATTAACAGCATGAAGTTGGCTTTAGCGACCAACTTCATGCTGCTGCTTTTGTGTTTACCGCACATTAAGAAAATCTACCAACAAAATAGAAATAGAATCTCTATTTTGTGGGTGCTAACGACTGCATTGTGGAGGCCCATCAAAAGTATTTGTTAATCTGGAACAACGGAACCAAAGCGCGATTCAGGAGACTACAGCGCCATCTCTTGACCATTGGTGTAGTAGAACCAAAAACCACATCTTTATTTTTTGTAATAAAGTAACAAAAAGTATTTATTAATCTGGAACAACGGAACCAAAGCGCGATTCAGGAGACTACAGCGCCATCTCTTGACCATTGGTGTAGTAGAACCAAAAACCACATCTTTATTTTTTGTAATAAAGTAACAGTTATAGGTATTCATATTTATAATATTTATCCACATGTTTCTAGTTTGTATATTCGGAATACGTGTTTGAGTTTCATACAAGTGCAAATCACATTATGTTCTAATAATTTATATTCAGTAGCGATTTTAATTGAATATTTTGATTATTTATTTATTTTTTCAAATTAAAACTGAACTTTATTGACTGTGTCCTTTTCCAGACTTTTTATTAATTTATTGTAATTAATTATTTGCATGCAATTAAAAACTAATTTTAAACGATGCCAAAGAAGGATAACTTCTCACGCGCCTACATAAGTACACGCACCCATTTTTTTTTATTCCAACACTAACACCAATTAGCCTAGCCCAAAAGTAAGCACTGCAAGTCATGTGTTATGGGATACTAGGGTAGCGGATAGAATACTTAAACAGTACATATATAAGCATATTTATATAGAAATACATTTTAAACATCAATGACTGGAGTAGAAATGCTCGTATTCATCACACAAACATCTGGCCCCACCGGGATTCGAACCCGGGAGCTCTCGAGTCGGCGACTCCATGAAACCCGGCGTACAAAGCACTCGGCCACGAAAGTCGTTAAAACCATTATCTATAGCTATACTAATATCAGAAAGAGGAAAGATTTGATTGTTTGTTTGTATTGAATAGGTTCCAAAACTATTGGACAGATCTGAAATATTCTTTCACATTTAAAAATCCTTCGTTATCCCAACGTGTCCCCTGCGGTTTCACCCGCGTTAATTTGAAGAAAAAGGTAATAATGAGTCAAACTTAAAATATGGACATTTGCTGTCGCGAACTTTTTTACAGAACTTTTAAAGAGGAACAATTCCGTGCGGACAACACAACGGAATCTCACAAATCGAATATTTTTACCCATTTTTCATCGATGCTCCACTGCTTCTGGTCGCAGTCTGATGTTTTATAGCCTATAGCCTTCCTCGATAAATGCACTATCCAATACAAAAATAATTCTTCAAATCGGAACAGTATAGCAATGTTGCATTCGGTACAACGGGTCCTAAACTACGCAACTTTTTTTTACTTGGAATGGTAGGTATATAATTGTTATGAAGAAAGTAATTATGTATAATACGATCTTTTGAACAAAAACTATAATACCACAGCTCTACACCGAAGCGAAGCGCTGGCGGGCCACTAGTACCTAATTAAATGTTTATATTATATTGGTTGATTGAGGAGCTCGATGGCGCCAGTGATTGGCGCGTTCGGCTGCGGTCATTGAAGTTGAGCAACTTTCGCAGTGGTCGGTCATTCGATGGGTGACCAAAAATTTACTATCTCTAGCTCCTCCGTGCTTCGGAAGGCACGTTAAGCCATTGGTCCCGGCTGCATCTGCATTCGTTAGCACCCACCAACCCGCACTGGGCCCGCGCGGTGGGTCATGGCCCAATCTCCCTAATCCATCCATAGGGAAGGCCTGTGGGGACATTAATAGGCTGATTATGATGATGCACACTAGTCTAGGATGCGGATTTTGCTTACCTGAAATAGATTTTACATCATTAATATATTAATGTCCCTCTACTGGGACATAGACCTTCTGTAATGGATAACAAAGGGAGAACAGGCTATCCTAATCTAACATCCTACGTGTGCGTTAATGCAGTTACAACAGTTCATTTTGGCGAACAGAAAAGTACGCGGACAATTCCCTGAATCTTGAAAAATGTCCGCCGAGACTTGTTAAGGACTTAACGCACACGGTGTGCGAACATTTATTGCCCGGAGATATTTAGAGAAGCACACGTTATGGAAGCAAATGTTCCGATATTACGTTGTGTTCAATCAGAAATCAGAAATCAATAATATCTTTATTCAAATTGGATGTGTAGTTCAACTCCTTTGAATCGTCCAAACATTTTTTTTCCCTACCACTCGTTATTGGACACATTTTTTAGCTGCGGAAAAAAACGAGCGATTGATTGTGATTGAGATTTGTAATTCCCAGTAACAGAAAGTACAGTTTAAGAAAAAGAGAAGAAGCTTTAAAAGAGAAAATTAAATTAAAATGAATTTTTCATTTTCATTTGATTTTTCATTTTCATGAAAATTATTTTTTTATTTCATTTCATTTCAAAAGAGATTATCGGGACGAAGCTTCGAAGACTGAAGTTTCTGTGTGCGATGCTGCGTCTAGTCACATGAGTTATATTATTTGCAGGGTCTCCAGAGTACTTGAGTCCAGTCCGGTTTCTTAGCGTCCTCGGTAGTTCGGGGGACTACAATTTGCATTAGCTAAGGCCGTTGGAACCGGAAGGAGGTCGGCATCTGCGCATCAACAATGGGGTCTGTTATCACACAGTGCCCCAGCAGGGTGGGCGATAACCGCCACGTGCGTGCGTGTGTCTGTCTGTGTGTCAACATCTACGCCCCTACCGAGGGTGACTCCGGTTGCAGCCATCTGTGGCAAGTAATAAGGCTATTATTGTTTTATTTTTTTTAGCTACGATAAATACAATATGTATGTAGTTAGTAACTTGGCTATTATAGTTAGTTTAGTTAGTTACTTACTTGGGTATTATTTATTAAGTTTTAAACTTTATTGACTAAATAAAATACGCAATAGGCGGATTTAATGCTAAAAGCATTCTCTACCAGTCAAACTTTGGGAAAAACAAAAAACACGAAAGGCGGTATAAAGCTAAAAATATACCTACATAGTAATTAAATTCTATACATATATACATTTATAAATATATAAGTACTACATACAAAAAATATACGTATACTATAGATAACATATTAATGGCTAGTTCTACATATTGTGGAATATTAGATGGCTCAGGTCGTCGAATAAAATATATATATTAAGTTACACAATAAAATAAAGGTTTATATTAATTTCTAATTGGACACAGATAAATTACCTCTCGCAAGCAAATATTTAGACGACAACCCGAAAATGATCAAAATTCTTACCATTACACAATTAAAAATATTATTCTATGTATCATGGTTGAAAAAATCTTAATAATTAAATTATTTTCTTATAAAATAGTAGCCATATAAGTATATGTAGGATTACACATAGCCAAAATTGGTTCGGGTCCTTTATTAAAAAACTTTTAGATTTGTTTTCACCGAGATTTTGTACCTACAAAAACAAACGTTTTAAAACAAAAATATTGTTTCTTACTTTAATTACCTTATTAGGTACCTTTAAGAAATCAAAATTTGGTACAAAGAACTCAAAATTCGTGTTTTCATGTTATTTTTCATAGATGTGACATCTATGGAGAATCAGAATTATTATGTAATTTTAAGATTGTGATGAAGCTATTCTGCTATTAGACAATAGGTAGCGCTACTAACAGAAATGTAGTGGCGACATCTATGACAACACGTGTCAATCTTCATTCAAAGGTATCAAATTATTTTCAGATTTACGCGATCGCTAAAATATAACCTTCACATCGCAATATTAAAAAAAAACAGGTGCAAAGGTGTTTTGAACTATGATTTTTCATTGTAGTGACATCTATGGGGGAAAATTATGAAATATAAAGCATATGATGAAGTTAGTCTGCTACCAGACAATAGATGGCGCCACTTACAGAAATATAGTGGCGACATCTATCACAGCATAGGTGCACATGAGGCACTGCATGCTTAATTTTAAAAAAAGCGGGAACGGGAACTTCAGAGAAAAGAAATACGTTTGAATTGGTAAGGAAATTATTTATTTTAAGCGATATAACTATTTCTTATATATTAAGCAGTCCATTTGAGACATCTTGTGTCTAAATGTGTCCCCAGACATCTGACACTGCAGTATCTTGCTCCGCATGGTATACAGGTGTAGTTAGATGGGAAGCCACAAACAGCACAAAAGTAACGATCTGGGAACCTGAAATTAAAGAATTGAACAGTTTATATATTATTTTAGTGTGTATTGTGCTGCCTATCGTTAGAGAAAAAAAAGTTATTTTAATTATAAATAATTACAATTTCAATTGGAGACTTAATATTAAACTTATTCTTTAAAAATATATTAATCGTTTTTTTATCAGAGGGGCAAATAATTGAACTAATTTGAACCATTACCTCAGCTTTTACTTTAATTTTCATTGCACTACCCTGTTTAAGAGTGTAACCTCCTTAGCTGTAACTATAATTCGAATTTGATTATTTATAGGCAAAATGACTATTTATGTGATATACCAGATATATATTCTTAATATTAACTTTGTTAATTCATACTTATTTAATAATCTGATAAAAGTTTATTTAAAATATTTAACTTACTGCGAAGGTGGCACTTGTGCTGAAAGATAATTGGGAGGGTCTGGCCTGAAGCTGGCATCTTCTTCAACCAGCTGAGCAAATGTTTTTCTGAACCTCATTTTATAATACTCAGCACTCTTAGATTTTTTCTTTCTCGTAGGCTTTTCATTTGAATCTGCAAACTTTGGCACTTTTTTTGACATAACCAGGTCTGCGTGAGGGTCTTCATGGAAATTGTCTTGTTCCAAAGCTTCAATAGCCTTTCTCGCTCGGCGTTTGCGGGCAGCATCATCAAGCACTCTTCTTTTCTCAGCTTCTTTGACTCTGCCAGATTCCCTGGCTGACATTTTGTTGTTTTCTATGTATTACTTAAATTGTTTACAGTCCTTTATCATGCACAGGGATGCTAAGTTGGTCCATTAAATCATCAACCCGTGCTTGTAGAGTTTCTACAATATCTGCCGAGATGAATAAATGTGTTTCATCCAGGTCTTGAAGGATAAATTTTCTGCCAAGCGCTAGAGTTTCATCTAAGTGCAGAAGGAACTGCTTCATAGCTGGGTCACTGAAAATAGAAAAAAATGTCTAAGAAACGCGGTCTCAGCGCTGATGAAAAGAAGACTAGGATGCTTGAGATTTTTCACCAGAGCAAAGATTTCTTCCAGTTAAAGGTATATTATTATCGGCAAACTTCTTGAGCATTGACCATAGAAAGTAAAGCCTGGACAGTAGCAATTTTAGACATAAAAACAACTACTGTGAAAATTTGTCTGTGGTTTTGCTGAGACGTTTTCTGCTACCTATAATCATCATCATCAGCCTATTAATGTCCCCACTGCTGGAGCACAGGCTTTCCCTATGGATGGAATAGGGAGTTTGGGCCATGACCCACCATGCGGGCCCAATGCTAATGCAGTCGGGACCAATGGCTTAATGTGCCTTCCGAAGCATGGAGGAGCTCGAGATAGTAAATTTTTGGTCATCCATCCAATGATACACCACTGCGAAAATTGCTTAACTTCAACCATCGCTCTAACCACTTGCGCCATCGAGCTGCTCACTACTTATCAACCTATAATACAATAGATTATTATTATAATATGTATAGAAATTTAAGAAAGCATATAAGAAGAAACAGATCTCAATACAACAATAAGGTAGTTTGATTACAGTTTAATATAATTATTATTTAATGTGAATGATATCACATCTTTATTTCACATTTTTGTTTTTAAGCATATGTTCTTTCAAAAAAATGTATAACTGCTGGTGAAAACTGTAAGGACTTCAAGTTTCATATTTAACTTATATTAATACACTTAAAAGATTAAAAAAAATTAAACTATGATTTAAACAATTTAGGATAAAATTATTGCATTAGGAGAACATTTTTCTCATAATTTAATAACTTTATTTTCTAAAACCTAACCTAATAATAAGCTATTTATAGCTGTTAAATTAATTAAAAGGAATACTGAAGCCAAACTAATAGAAAAATGTAGACTATATGTAGTATTTTGGCGTTTCTAAGCAATGAAAGTATATTTCTTATTTTCCAGGAATTAGAGAAGATTGCCCCCAAAGAGAAAGGCATAACAATGCAGTCTGTTAAAGAGGTTGTACAGAGCCTAGTTGATGATCATCTCGTTGACTCTGAGAAGATAGGCACTTCTATATACTTCTGGTCTTTTCCCAGGTTAACTCATTTTAATATTAATAGGTTTTGTCTTCTGTTGAGTGAAAGCTATTAAAGTGTATTTCATTTATTTAATAATGATATACATTAGTTATCATTAATCTGATATTATTTTACTGTTTACAAATAAATGCTTTTATGAGGTAAGTTTGAGGTATACCCTGGCAATTTCCTTGAGTGTTGACCATAGGCAAGGAAAGGACCTGTGCAGTAGCAATTTTACATACAAAAATATTTACTGAGCAAGTTTATTTAACTGTGGTTGGTTTTGTTGAATAAGTTTAATATTAATAGGTTTTGTCTTCTGTTGAGTGGAAGCTATTAAAGTGTATTTCATTTATTTAATAATGATGTATGTTAATCTGGTATTATTTTACTGTTTATAAATAAATGTTTTTATGAAGCAAGTGTGAGATATACCCTGGCAATTTCCTCGAGTGTTGACCATAGGCAAGGAAAGGACCTGTGCAGTAGCAATAATTACATACAGAAACATTTACTGAGCAAGATTATTTAACTGTGGTTGGTTTTGTTCAAGAAGTTTCTTGCTACCTTTATACATACTAAAAATAATCTCATATATTTACAGTAAAGCATTTCTTGCTAAGAGAAAGAAACTAAATGACTTACAAAGTGAGGTGGATGAAAGTACCAAAAAATTAAAAAAGGCCGAAGAGAGCCTTATAACAGAATCAGTAAGTTTTAGGTTTTTCCAAAATTTTATAAGTAAATTGGCCCAATATTAGGATAGTTTTGAATTAACATTGTATTCTACATTAAGAGAATCATTAACATTTAGATATAACAAGGTGAACAGACAGCATTTATTTATCATATCACTAACCAGTTTTTCAAGGTACAGACAATGCAACTTTTAAATATTGTGTGATGTATAATTATTCTTATCTATATTATATATTATTAGGTTGGCAGAGAACCATGTGATGAGAGAAATGAAGCACTGTCATCATTAGAACAGATACTAAAGAAAGAGCAGTTACTTAAAACTGAGTTGCAAAAGTACAGAGACTTTGATCCTGAGTACATAGCTCAATTGAAGACTGAAATAGAGGTAATAAATACAGTAGAACCTCTTTAATTCGATTTCTCGCATAATACAACATTTTGCGTCAGTCCTTGCAACTGAGACATGTTTTAATACGTTTCTTAACGCTTAATACGATTCGTTATCCTGTTTAATACGCCTAAATCGCCAACACATACCACAAATATTACCTCTTGTAGTAGCATAAAATTCAATGAGAATGTGAATAACACACATGAAAAGGCCCTAAGTGGTAATGATCAAGTAGAAGATAAGTCAACTCCGATTTTGTCTTCTTTGAATCAAAGCGAAGACTTGTAATTGCTAATGCCTGAAAATATTTTTGGCAAACTAAAATAAGTGATTAATTTATATGACATAATAATAAATAATGATGATCTCTAAACCTAAACTTATATTTGACATCAGTGTATCCTTGTCATTCTTGATACAGATTGAAAAGGAGAGACTGATGTTAATTTAGTTTTAAGTTTAGAGACAGAATCATGCCAGAATCAACACCAATAATACACTTAATTTTTTATAACATTCATAATTTTTAAATATTGTACATACAAATTCGAAATTTCCCTATCCTGCAATCCCGCATAATACGCTTTCCCGCTTAAGAGGCGTTTTTGGTTGAGTCCCTGAGAAATTCGTCTTTAACCTAATTTTACTGTATTAATATTTCTTGAGCTTATGAATTTCTTTATAATAGAACAAACAATCTGCTCTGGCTTTGCACATAGTTTGGGTGAATTTAGTTTTAATTTAATGTAATAAATTATAGCCCACTGTTACATTCAAATAGTGAAATAATTCTTTAAATCAGGCAACAGATACAAATTTATTTATATTATTAGTGAAGTTTAGATTAGATTTCTTCAGTGATGGCTCCCTACATAAGCAGAATGAGATAATACCTAAAGCTTATGGTCAGAATAAAAAATATATAAACTTTTTGTAGATCACTATCATGGATTATTCATAAAATGTACAATTATGCTTTTATAAACAGTTTTATTTATATTTGCCTGATTTACTTACATTTTACAGGAGTTGAAAGCAGCAGTTAATCGATGGACAGAAAATATTTACATTTTAAAGTCTTATGTTAAAAACACATTTCAAATGGAAAACGAAGTCATTGATCAGAGTTTTGGTATTCCACCAGACCTGGACTACATGGAAATTTAAACTGTTCTCTTGCAAACAGAAAGCATAACCTATATCACATTGTTTACCTCTGAGTTTGCAAGATTCTTTAACCGGTTTTTCCTTTTTTTCTAATTTAACTATGTTTAGAAAAAATTATAAAGGTATGTAATTGTATTTTTGTATAAATAAAGCCCAAATGAACAATTAAAGACATACCATTCTACAAGAACACCTTTCATTACATTCACCATGATTCATTATTAATACGATCCTCGAATACGAAGATTTTGTCAACAGATGTTATAATTAATGAAATTAAATACTTTGCTTTATAATAACTTCAGAAATTAGCTAATAAAATACGGTTCGAAAAGTCGGAAAAATAGGAAAACGAAATGTCAATGTTAACGTCTTTGTTTTTTTGCTTTTCCCTATTGGGAAAGGCAAAGGCAAAATAATACAGCCATCGTCTTTTTGTATGATTTTTTTATTTACATTAAAATGTGGGTGTGACGATTTCTAATATTTTTTGGAGTGTTTGGCACAAAATGTAGGTATCGAGACAGCTATCTCGATACCAAGCTTCTGCAAGGCAATCTTAGTAGTACGGTGGGCTGTTACCGCTAATCGACACTATGAGCCTATTTTGCGTGCAAAATAGCATCAGTCCTGCCATCCTAGCTTCTTCAGAAAACCCAGCAGTCCTCGAATATTGGTGCAGGCTTCTACTAGAGTCCGTTGATATCCCAGTAGAGAAGTCCTTTATCTTGCAATGCTTCTACAGTCCAGCAGAACGTGGGTGCTGGTCTCTTCCTTCTCCAGGCAAGCTCTGCACAAAGCGCTGTCAAAGGTGCTTGTTGAAATAGCCGTGACCGGTAACTATACGTACGTTTTTTTTTCAAGGCTTGTCTAGGTAGTCTGATTAATTTACATAATAAGTGCAGGTTTACATACCTTAGGAACGGCTTCCTTTGTTTGCCTGCAGTTCGTAAATTCTACCCAGTATTCATCATGATGTTGTTGACAGCGCTTGCTTATCCAGGTTATCAGCTGCCGAAAACGTGTGAGTAAAATTAGCTTTTGGAACAATAGCCGTTCTGCTGGATCCTTCCTTGGCTAGGCAGTCCGCCGCATCATTGCCCCTTGCGCAGTGGCTCAATTTTAAGGCCAGCATATTGTGGTTACATATATTAGTCAAGTTACAGTGGAATTCATAGCTTAAGCCGGTTGTCATTATATTGTTGTCCAGTTTAATGTAGTGTTGAACAGTTTTGGTAGGCAATAGTCGCATTAGGATCTTTTCTTTTAGATCTTTGTTTAGACTATAAACATAACAGGCGGTGCTCGCGAACTTACTGGGCATTATATTAATTGCAAGAACGTCTGCGCTGCCCACAGTGTGGAAGTAAAGGTTATTTAGTTTGGTGATTAAGTCGTTGACAACTACATTCCTTAGCAGCGGCAATAGTACACCTCCTTGAAGACATCCTTTTGTCGCCATTGCTCTAAGATGGTTGTTGCTGTCGTCCTGTAGTCTGATTATTCTATTAAGGAGTATGTGGCTTACCCAATATAAAATGGTGTAATCTACTCCGTGTTTGTCGAGTACACCAACGATGCTAGCGTTCCCAAACAGAGCTCTTTGCGACTGAATCAATCCTCTATTTAACTCACTTATTCTGTTGACTTGCCCGGACTATAGGTGTGTTGGTTCGGGTGTAATACGATATTGACTAATTGATTGCCCTCAGCTCTCTGTCGCACAACATTTCTAAAGTCTTAAGCAGAAATGATGATAAACTAAACGGTCTGAACGATTTCGCTTGTGTTTGTAGTCTGCCTTACCTGGATTTAGAATTAAGATAACCTTGAGCTTCGGCGTATATTTATGTGCAAGGCAGTGTGTCTTAGGAAAGGCAGCAGGATTAGGATTAGCGCTTCTGTTGCCCAATGAAGCAGTGCCGGAATTGTACCACCTGGACCAGCTGCCTTGAAAGGCTGGAAGCTTTTTATGGCCCACCTAGCAGTGTTCCATCATTGTTGCGTGAAAGTCCAATCAGTATTACTCCAAGTATGTACCGTGTGTATAATACAGCCCGGAAATAAGCAGTAAGTACCCTCTGTACTCCCTCTAAAAAATTTTTTTTGTAAATAAGGTTATATATGTTTTTAATATAATTAAATAACGTAATATAAAGTATTGTATGCTAACACATGGATCTAAGTTGTCCAATAAATGATTTGAATATTTCTGTGACGGAGCTATCCATTTTCCGAAGCTATAGACTTCCTGCCTGTCTTTTGATAGCAGTTACCTTACATTATTTGCTTTAGTACCCCAGTATATTTCAGAGAAAAATTTCCTACAAGATCTATTGCTCCAGTGCTGAATGCTTTTCTTATAAATAGCCTTGGCAAGTTGGCATCTATTTGCATGCACCTCCACGCCTCCACCATCAATATGGGGTCTTGACAGACAGATAGATGAACGGCCGTAGCTTTATTTGATGTTAACTTTGGAGTCGGATTTTGTCAAGCTTCAAGGTAACGTAGATCTGAGTATATGATTTAAATCTTTTCGATAACTTTATGCGTTCCAGAGATATAAGGTCTCGTCAGACAGACAGACGGACAGTAAAATGATCCTATACTACCTATATAATAAAAATATAAACAACAATTTTTAAATGACATACCTACCGGGTTCGAACTCATGATCTCTTAAACTCGAAGGAGCGTTTGTTGTTAGACCAAGCCATTATACAGGGTGTCTCATTTAATTCGGTCAGTATGGGAAATTCTGAAACTACCTGGACAGCAAATAAACTAGGCCATCCGCTATTTTGGAACTCCGATTCCATTCTCTCGAAAAGTATAACACTTACAACTATCAAAGTAACTACTTACAGAAAGTGCGTTTCAAAACAATCATAATGAATGGAATTGGTAGAATCAATTTATTAAGTGTTTGTTAAGGGTTTCACAAAAAAGAGTCGTTTACCAGTCGTGTTAATCATTAGTAATCGTAAAATAAAATAAAAATTAAAGCCGATAAGTCTGTAAACTCGCTGCACCGAAGATCTGCTGATTCGAAGTCTTCGAGCGACCTCACGTTGCCCAAGGCCTGCTTGAAATAGTGCTACAGCTTGAGCTGCTTCCTGAGGTGTCGGACCCATTATTGACCGAAAAAAGTGGCAAAAATAGACGCGACTGAGCAAACGATGGACAATAACTAAAGAAATGATAAGAAACATCCGACTCTCATTGCAAAAAAGAAAGGTAATCGCGAACTTAAGTCAAAATAGAGCAAATCGTTAGCATTGTGTTTGTTGCTTGATTACAATCTGAGTCAACCGTACTTTAGAATAAATTTATAGTCATTTATTTGTCATGAAATGCACATTTTGTAGGTATAACTTTTATAGTTGTCATCTGTTCTTAGGAACCATGTCATCGATTTTAATAACAAGAAAAACTGCATTCTTATATAAAAAAAACCTGCACTCAGCTTGGGAATTGAATCCGATTGTTATGAAAAAAATAAACTTACACTATTTCTATTAAGATATCGATTGTGGTAGGTCTTGAGTAGTAAATGGCTGTATGAAACACGATGTCTAAAATCAATGAAACGCATTGTTTTCCCATACTTTAATTTATTTATGTAGATGTTCGATGTGAGCACCGTTTTTTTCAATACAATTTTCAACACGTTTAGGTAACGATCTTACAATTGCATTTTGTATCTTCATGTGGTGATTTTGCGTTAAAATTGACTCTATAGCTGCACTTAGGTCTTCAACGGTGTCATAGCTTGTATTGTACACTTCATCCTTAACGTAACACCATAAGAAATAATCAAGAGGCGTTAAATCGGGTGACCTTACGGGCCATTTGATAGAGCCGTTCGTATCGATCCATTTTTGGGAAAAGTTCTCATTTAAAGTTTCCAGCTATGCGACCATTTTGAGCCAGTGCTCCGTCTTGTTGAAAATAAAGTTGTTCTCTTACTTCTGCCGACATTTCTCCTAGGGCCTCTAAAAGATCTAAGATTGCAAGATACTTGAATCTATCCAAATGTCCATCATAAATTTTAAACATGGGTACCTTATTATGAAATAGGCCGACCCAGCAGTTAAATGAGAATCTAACTTGATTGCGCCCTTTTGCATTCCTAAGGGATTAGTGATGATTATTACGATTGCACATTCCGTTGTTGGAAAACTGCGTTTCATCAGAAAATATTACGTACTTTAAAAATTACTGTCTAGACCCATTACTTGTTGTTTTATCCCATTGCAAACTTCAAGTCGTCTTATATCATCATCTGCATGTAAGCTCTGCATCCTTAGATTAAAACAAAAAGGGCCTGCACCAAATGTCAATGCTTGTTGCACTTGTATTTGAATTTCTATAAGGTTCTTTGAATAGTCGGACGTGAAATTTCAGGAATATCAAGACGTATTACGAATTGAGGCATCTGGTGTTGCTACGCTCGTTTCCATGTTTTCTTCCCATTTTCTTTGTTTTTTTTTTGGTACTTTAAAACTTCCATGGGTCTTTAAATTGTGAAGAATTTTAATGAATATCTTACGAGTAGGTAAAATACGTGTCGGATATTTAATATGGTACCAATGTAGTGCACGCAAATTGCAAATACTTTCATTTTTAAAGTAAGCTTCCAATAATTTCAACTGCTCAGCGTTTGTAAAACGCATTTTCCCAACCTCACAGCGATACACACGAAAATACCTAAAAAAATTAAGTTGCCGCCAAAACATTAACACTACAATGTTTTTTTTTATTGCTATTCAGCCAGTTACACCAAGCCGTTCCATTCTCAAATGAGGTTTATCACGTCTCTGTATCTACATACTTATTCTAAGGGGGCTTTTTAATTGATTGTTAGTGTTTGATAATAAACAAAACAAGTAACAGTAGCTCGAGTTTAATGGCTCTTTCCCATCTCAAAAATGCCCAAAACGCCTAAAGAATTGTTCACTTCAAAAATCTTGAACATTGTGGGTTACCTACTTAAGAAACACTAGAAAGAATTAGAATTAGGTCAGTGCATTCGCCCTTATAGCGAACGGTGCGTGTTAGAGTCCCGTCTGCTGCCTGGTCCGCGTGGAATTTTTTCTAGTAAAGTTTTCTTTAGATTTAAATATCTGGCAGTTAAATGCTTGAAAAAGAAAAAAAAGTAATCTTGAACATTTTAAAAACATAGGCAGCGCTTTTTAGGAAATTGTAGGTGCCGATTATGGGCTTAATAATAAGGAGGATAATAAACGTTTTCAAGTAAAAGGCTTTTAGGCAATACTTTTTAAACAATGATACGTGCATAGATTCTAGCTACCCTCCGGTTATTTGGTATGTAAAATCCTAAAGGACTAAATCAGAGATAAAAT